GGGAAAGGACCACAAAATGGGGACATTAATAGCACCCTCTATTGTCTATATTTAATTACATATATTAAATTTCTTTCTTGGAAGTACTATGGGCGACGCGGCGAGTTTTGTGGTCTAAAGCCAAATTTTATGAGGGGCCTTAACTTTTTTATATTAAAAAAATTTATTTATTTATTTGAAGTTTATTTTTCTAGCGTTTCTTAGATACAAAGTCATTAATAATTTTCTTGTAGTCAATAACTCCTAGTAAGTCTTTCTTAAGTGACAATATAACTAATCTATTTAACCTTTCTTGAGACATTATTGATCTTAGGTAAGATTTTATCAATTTTAATTTTGAAAACTTTTTTCCACTGAAGCGATGGTAACATGAGTTATTAACATTATTCCATAAGCAATATAGACATTGGAAAAAAATTAAATCTTTTTATTTGATTGAGTGTATCAGTTAAATTGTTATCTTCTAATTGTACTATTTTCCTTAATACTTTTAATACCGGAAATAAATCTAAACCATCAATATCGAATTGAATTATCTTTTAAGGAACATTCAAGATTAAGGCAATATTTCTTCAAATTTTCATCATCAAGTGATCTTAATTTTTACCACTAAATAGAAAACCGAAAATACTTTCATATGCTTCGAATTGTTCAAATTTATTTTGAAGTGAAAAAAAATAGTCTTGTCTACTATGTATAAAGTAATCAACTTCAAAGGACTCTTCGAAGATTTTGAGATGTTATTATCAACATTCTCATCAAATTGTTATTTCCTATATATTACACGTTTCTTATGAAATTCGGGTTCGATATTCATTTCAAGTGCAATTTTCTTGGCAAAAATTATAGCGGTTGCAAATCCTTCTTCTTTATACTTATTAAAGAAAGAAATCAAATTTTTTCACTTCATTTTTTTAAACTTATACATAACCTATTAGGTGTAATAAAAATGGGGCCCGCAAATATAAGACCTAAAGCAATTGCTTTACTTGCTTTATAGATGGACCGCCCCGGGGAAGTACCCAAGTATACTGTTCGAATGGCTTATTCTTCTAAAAATGCGCAGAATACAAGTTGAGACAGAACTTTTGCTAATTTTCCCTTATTTTTTCTTATTATCTTTGGAAAAATTTTATTTTGTGCCTCACACAACTACTGACACTAGTTGTGTGGGGCTTCTTTTTTGTCTCACAACTGTGTGGGTCCCACAATTTTGTGGACCCAAATATGTAAGATATGGGTGCACAAATATGTGAGATAAAAAGAGGCCTCACACAACTAGTGTAAGTTATGTGAGACACAAAATAAAATCACTCGGGAAGAAACAATAATTTACTGTATTTCCTAAATTTCTGTAATTTCACTTTTCCTTTGTTATTATTTGATATTCTTCAATACTAAATTATGCATATTTGATAATTACATTGAATTGTTCATTTACTAATTTTTTATTTGTTTGTTATTATGGTCTTTCTCGATGCCTTCAAACATACAAATAGACCCCAATGGTGAGTCTGAAATTTTATCCCTTTTTTTTGTCATTTAATCACCAATTATTCATTTATGTTACTGATTTTCATGTAATTACCAACAGCACCAATGTATTACAATGGAGTCTATCATCTATTCTACCAGTACAATCCAAAAGGATCAACAATGAACAACATTGTTTGGGCTCATTCAGTCTCAAAAGATTTAATTAATTGGATTAATTTAGAGCCTGCAATTTATCCATCCAAACCATTTGACAAATATGGAACATGGTCTGGTTCAGCAACAATTCTCCCTGGTAACAAGCCTATTATTTTGTACACTGGAGTAGTAGATGCCAACATGACTCAAGTTCAAAATTATGCCGTCCCGGCTAACTTGTCCGATCCATATCTCCGTGAATGGATCAAGCCCGATAACAACCCGTTAATCGTCCCTGATATCAGTATCAACAAGACCCAATTTCGTGACCCGACAACAGCTTGGATGGGCAAAGATGGTCATTGGAGAATTATAATAGGAAGTTTGAGAAAAAAGAGAGGATTGGCAATAATGTATAGAAGTAAAGATTTTATGAGATGGATTAAGGCTAAACATCCACTTCATTCAACTGCTAATACAGGAAATTGGGAATGTCCTGATTTTTTCCCTGTATCATTACAAGGTACAAATGGTTTAGATACATCGTACAACGGGAAAAATGTTAAATACGTTCTCAAGAATAGCCTTCCTGTTACCGTGTTTGAGTACTACACAATTGGTACATATGATGCCAAACAAGAAAGGTATATTCCAGATAACACTTCAGTCGATGGTTGGAAAGGATTGAGACTTGACTATGGCATTTTCTACGCGTCTAAGTCCTTCTACGACCCTAGTAAAGACCGAAGAATCGTGTGGGGTTGGTCTTATGAATCTGACGGTGTCCCCTATAATGAAAATAACAAAGGATGGGCTGGAATTCAGGCTATCCCGCGTAAAGTATGGCTTGATTTCAGTGGAAAACAATTAGTTCAATGGCCTATTGAAGAATTAAAAACTCTAAGGAAGCAAAATGTCCAACTGAGCAACAAAAAGCTGGACAAGGGAGAAAAGATTGAAGTTAAAGGAATCACAGCGTCGCAGGTTTAGACTTTTTTCTAGTTTTAAATTTGCAAGCATTTTTAATAAAAATTTCTTTACAAGTTAAGGCTAAGTTGGGAGATCAATTGAAATTGGCAGGCTGATGTTGAAGTGACATTCTCCTTCTCTAGCTTAGACAAGGCAGAGACATTTGATCCTAATTGGGATGATCTTTATGCACAAGATGTTTGTGCAATTAAGGGTTCAACTATTCAAGGTGGGCTTGGGCCATTTGGGCTTGCAACATTGGCTTCTCAAAACTTAGAAGAATATACACCCGTTTTCTTCAGAGTGATCAAAGCTCAAGAAAAGTACAAGGTTCTTATGTGCTCTGACGCCACAAGGTTTGTTTTCTTAGAATTCTATCCCTACACCTCCTAAAAGAGAAGACAGTCTTGACCTATGTTGCTCGGACACGCCGAAAATATCGTTCGGTGCATGTCGGATCCTCCAAAAGTAGTGTATTTTTGAAGGATTTGACACGGGTGCGATATCATTTTGGAAGATCCGCACAACATAGCTCTTGACTCACCCAAAACTGTAACTATGGCCTACGGATGTGATTTGTGACTATGAACATTCTAAAATCTCTACCTATAATAATGGCGATCAAAATCACCATGGTGGAACTTCTTTCTATTTTCTCTCATCATCTGTCCCGTTTAACCAAATATAGTTTGTAAACAAAACTAAACATCAACACGGCTGAAAATCTCTAGAAATCAACTAACCTCATAATTCTCCTTTATTGACAGGTCTACCACTCAACATCATAATGCAACGCGTAAATCCTCATTTGCTGGATATGTAGATGTGGACTTAGTAGACAAAAAGTTATCTCTTAGGAGTTTGGTAAGTTTTGCTTCAGCATCTTTTAGTGAATGCGCTCTACATCTATTCTCTTTTGAATTCTTTTTGTTAATTTTCCACTATGTATATGCTTGCAGATTGATAACTCAGTAGTGGAAAGTTTTGGTGCTGGTGGCAAAATATGCATAACATCAAGGGCTTATCCAACATTAGCAATTCATGACAAAGCACATTTATTTGCCTTCAATAATGGTACAGAGATAATCACAATCGAGACTCTAGATGCTTGGAGCATGGATACACCTCAAATAAACTAAAAAGTTGTGAGAAATAAACTTAGAAGAATAAATAAACAAATAAATAGATAGATGTAAAAATAGCACGGGCTAGCCAGTTTTCGGACTGGTCATTCAAAATAGCCAGCGTTTGTAAAGTCATTGAAAAATAGCCACTATTTTGCTGCAACACGAAAAGTTCCAGCATTATATACTGGAGATCGGTGCACCAGTGTATGAACTTCCAGCATATTATGCTGGAACTCCAACACGCAGAAAGTTCCAGTATCTCCAATCTCCAGTATATTATGCTGGACCAGTATATTATATTGGAACTCCAGTATTTTTCCGGATTTTGAACAGTATTTTCATTCAGATTTATCTTTACATGAAAAGTGGCTAAATTTCGATTACTTTTGAAACTGTGACTATTTTTGAATGACCACTTGTAAATCCAGCTATTTTTTAATTTCTCTGAATTTCTCCGTAGATAGATAGATAGACATAGAGGCCATTTTCCCATGCATTTGATAAAGTAGGATCTACAAGTCCTATAGAACTTATCAAGAAAAGACGATGTTCCTATAGAATTTATCACTATAGTATCTTTGTACAGATTATTGTTCTAAATTAATTAGAAGAATATATTATTCTTCAAAATAAAGCATATTTGTTTTCTTATTTAATTGTGCATTTACCGAAATTATATACCTATTTTGGTATTAAGAAAGAAAAAAGAAAAAAATGGAATCTCGTATGAAGGAAGGTTTGTCCTTTAACAAGAAAGTCAAAGAAAATAACAGGAAAGGCAAATCAAACATAATGGAATTAGTAAAACACCCCTCCAATTTGCAAGAGCCTACTTGAAGTTTCCGAATTTGCAAAGCCCACTTCATCTAGAATTTTATGCTACATGATTAAGGTCACGTAAATTGTAAAACCTCAGTGAAGACTTTTGTGCCTTAACTTCTCCTCATAATGAAAAACACATCCTCTTTCTTCTAAACTGAATGCTGATTACATTTAGATCATCAAAGAATTATTTTCCTTTTTTTTTTTTCTTTCTCTCCTTTTGGATACTTTCTCATAGTCGGTTAAGTTGGAGAAATCCTAGAATTTGCCAAGAATTATAAATAAAATTTATCCTTTGGCTTAATTCTTAACACTCAAAAAATCATTGTGATGGTTACTAGTTGATGACGTTTGCCTACCTAGGATAGCATAGCACAGTTTCTAAGAAAGTTAATTTACGACATAAGAAAAGATGAAGCTATTGCTCATAATAACCATTGCTACCTGTGCTCTTTTATAGATATCATAGCATTCAAATCAACTTGAATGTATCTCAACTACTTCACTAAGTATTTGTATCCTTCCTCATAAAGGTATCAAATAACTCCTCATTGAAAAAAGGTATCAAATACCTTGTACTTGCATGTTGCTCAACTATTGCACTAAGTATTTGTATCCTACCTAGTAAGGTACCATATAACTCTAACAAAGGCTAGGGCGGCGAAAAAATTACCTGACTTTTTTGCATCATCCAAGTTACAAAGGATCAAAAACCATGCTCCTCTCCTTGGCCTGATCAGAGTTACTCATTCGGCCTGATCAGAGATATTAATGATCACAACAATCAGAAGGCAAATAAAAACCATCAAACTACTGCCACTGTCCCTTCAGATACACTGGGTTACTTTCTTTCAATTGCCTCATGAAATGAAAATAGAAAATAAAGGCACCAGTAGAATAAAGAACCTAATGATGCAACAAGGTTCCAATGGCCGAAGCATAGGGCTCTGTCACCACAAAAAAAAAAAACCACAGATTTAGCAGGATTCCCCTCACATGTGAACAGATTATATAAGATTGAAGTGGTGGTCCAAATTAGATTTTCCAATATCAAGAAAAACAGCAATCAATGACAAGGTTGAAACATGAACTATGCCTTAATATTTCTTTCCAATGTTGGGACTGAAAATAGAGAACAGTCAGATAACATCAAGAGGTAAAGCACTAAATAAATCATTGAAGACAAGACAGTAAATTTCAACATCCAACTCAACTCCTCTACAACTTAACTCTTTTAGAACAGAAAAACAGGAATCACTCCTTTAGATTTAAAGGACTGCAAGTTATATCTTAAGACAGCACGCACAGAAGTCATCTGGTGGTTAAAGTCAATCAATCAACAAGTGTAGCAGTTGAAATGCATCAAATGTCGAGAAAGTAAACAACGATATGATTGATAGAGATTTTAACTAGACAGGGAAACTACAAGATATAAATGGTGATTAAGACCATCGTCAATTATAGTAGCTTTGGGGGAGGAGCCACAGAATCTTCACTGTGGTAATCACTCAGTTTGAAAAGTGACTAATTATTTGTACCATGAAAATGTAAATATGTGATCAAACGATCAAATCAAATAACTGGCAATTACCCAGTGAAATGCATCAGATGTGAACTATGCAAGGGACCGTGTGATTGATGGAGATAAAGACACTTCAACTAGGAAGGCAACTGCTTGAAGAAGCCTCATGACTAGAGGCGCTTACTAAGGCGGATCTGAAAGATGAACTGCCAAACCTTGATTGCAGTTTAAAGAACATGATCATGGTGTCAAGTCCTTAATGAAAATCTTTACATGGATGGCCGGAGGCTACATTTCCATGAACATACAAATAAGAACTTGGCTCCCTGCTATGGGTGTAGCAAACTGGTTAACAAAGAACGCGCAGAGAAATTAACCCAAATATGAAGCTCACACAAGCCAACTGTTGAATTCTTCAACAATCGAGGATCAAGCATTACCAATCTAGGTATTAATAACTTCAACCAATATCATAGCTACTTTAATTTGGTCAAACTATAGTCTGAACTGTCATTTCTCTTTCTTTCGGTCATCTTACCCCTAGTTCAACCATCTAGATTAACTAAACCATGGGTAACCCAACTCGTTCATTATCAAATAAATTCCAAGTTACTCATACCATTATTTCATCCAAACATCGATTATTCCATTCATTACCACCATTCAATTAACTCTTGGTTCTTAATTCTTCAATTCTATAAAATTTCAAAGAAAACAGCACAATTGAAGTGAACCGAAGGGTATAATGACAAAATTATAGCATATCATTTGGACCAATTGATGTTTTACCACCTGTCAAATCATGAAACATGAGCAAAATCATAAATCCATTATCTAATGGTAATTATATCTTTAAACCGAGCCACATATTAGAACTTCAATACAGTGGCACTAGGCACTAGCGCAAGTACAGGAGAATCCACATAGAATATAGCAATATGTTTTCCAAACTATAGACCAAAATTAGACAATAAACAGAGGCCTATTAGCAGCTAGCAGCGCATGGTTAACTCAGTGGATAATGAGTCACCCCTCTACTCTTCCCCACTTAAATACCAAACTTTTATCACGGCAAAGTTCGAGCCGTGACATGCACCTAACACCACACATCAAGTGTTGCGCAGTTACCATTACACCAAAACCCTGGGGGATAAACATAAGCCTATCTTAAAGCTAATAAAAAGATATACGTAATCGCAATTCAGAAGTAACGAAGTTGTTGCAATCACAATCATATAAAATCCAACAGAACTATCTTCCATTTATATTCTCTTGATCTCCATTTCCCAAAATGTACACCAAAATTTACTACAATAATTCACTTCTAAGTCCAGATATATGTAACAATATAAGTAAATATATCAAAAAATTAACTGAGCTTCTTGTTTATCGTTTCAATCTAGAAAACCTGTTTGGCGAAAAACAGCATTTCGAACTTGACGAAGATCTCTCCCTTTGAGTGTTCTTCCGACGCCTTCGAGCACCGAAAACGTGGTTTTAGGTGATCTAGAGGATCCTCCTCTGGCTACGATCTCATGAGGCGGAAGCATCTCATCGTCGCCGCCCTCATCGTCATCGATTTCCACGTCAGCAAGCTTGTCGTTTCTCGGCGTCGCCTTCTTCGGCATCATCGGGATGTTCACTGGAGCCGAGTGTTGGAACTTCCTCACCGGCATCGTTTGTGAATAGTTATTACGGTTATAGCTATTTTCTCTATCCAATGGAGGCTTCGGAATCATCGGAAAAGCTCGCGAAGACGACATCGGCGAAGACGACATCTGCGGCGAAGGTGAGGAAATTATCGAAGTTTTCCGATAAACAACCGGACGGTTAAGTTTCCGTTGATCCTCAGACAATGCAGCGAGAATACCGAATTTCTCCGGATGACGGAAGGTTTGCCGCCGGAGACTGTTTGAAGAAGCAGGGGAAGTAGAGCTGCGCTGAGGTTCAGTGAAGTCTCCGGTCCAGAAAACATCATCTTCGTTAAGCTCATCGCCGGCGACATTACTATCAGTCTGCGGTGGAGATAATACGCCGAGAAATCGATCGGAGGACGGCGAACGACGGTGGCGAAAAGCTACGACGCCGTTTTGGTCCATTGAGCGTCGCCACTCCACTCCCCACTTCCGTTTTTTGCGTATGAATTAAACCTCTCTAGATGTTTTCGTTTTAAAAGCACACAACCACTTCACTCCATAGGACCCTCATCTCTCATAGTGGGCTATAATCTAGTAGGTCCCACTAATATTTAGGACCCGTTTGGCCATGAGCTTTGCTAAAATAAATTTGAGATTTATTTTCAAAACTCATGTTTGGCCATAAATTTTGCCCATATTTTGGCAAAATCCCAAATCCTAAACCCCAAATCCCAAATCACTTCAATTGCTAATTTTGGGCCAAAATCCCAAAACTTGGAATTATATACATATTTTTCCAAAATAAAGTTGGGAAATATGTTTTGAAAAAGTATGTCCAAATACATTTTCATCTTCAAGCCAAACTTTACCCAAATCATTTTTCAAAATAAATTTGAGATCTATGGCCAAACGTTAGCTTAACGTTTTGAAATGGATCTATGAGATACTTTACCGTCTCAAATTATTTATCTTGATTTTTAAAAATAGTTATTTTAAATTTATTTGTCGTTTTAATTACTTTTTTCCCTATTCTACCCTTAAGTAATTTTTAAAAATAGTTGTCTGAAATTATTTGTCATTTTAATTATTTTTTTCCTATTTTACCCTTAATATATTGCTCTTAGAGACTACAAATACCTTAATTATGAGTAAGTATTAAATGAAGTGAGATTATATCTTAAGACATAAATAAGGATAAAATAATCAAAATCTTTCCTATTTAATATTTTCTTAAGGAGGCGTGTAAAATAAAAAATCGATAGATAATTTGAGACGGAGGGAGTAAAGAATAAAGACGATGACTCGTAAGATTTTTTTTTTTTTTTTTGTATTCCATGTACTAAGGAGACGTTCGGCAGGATGCAAAGATATTTGGAGGTAATGAGATCGACATACTTAAAATAATTTTAACCTATTTGGAATAAATAAATTTGTCAATAAATTTGAACGTTGTGAAGGATGGACTATTTTAAAATAAAAAAATAATTATTCTAAATCGCTTGAGATGCCAATCTACTAAGAGAGTGTTTGGCTAAGCTTATAAGCATTTTTCGGCTTATCTACGCGTTTGGTAAAGTTAAAAGTGCTTATAAGCCAAGTGTTTATAAGTCAAAAATAAGTTGTGATGACCCAAAAGGTCATCTTGTGTTTTAGAACCTAATTCGGTATTCCGAGACCTTTAAAACCTCATTTTATTTCTCCTCGATTTGCGTGTGCAGTTCGGGCGCATTTTCAGAAAGCTTTTATGTGGAAAATTGATTAAAAAAATAATAATTTTTGCTTTTAAAGGTTAATTTAGTTGACTTCGCTCAACATTTTGAGTACACGGACCCGGACTAGTATTATGACAGTCCCGGTGGGTCCGTATCAAAATATGGGACCTGGGCGTATGCCCGGAATCGAATTCCGAGGTCCCTAGCCCGGGAAACGAAAGACTGAAAATCAAATGGTTTTAAGAATATGGTTAATGTTTGATCTTGTAGGTATCGGGCATGTATTTTGGTTCCGGAGTCCGGTACAGGTCCAAAATAATATTTATACCTTATCTGTGAAAATTTGGTGAGAAACGGAACTGATTTGACGTGATTTGGACGTCCGGTTATGAAAATAGGAATTTCAAAGTGTTCTTAGGAATTTCATGTGTTTTGGTGCTAAATCTATAGTTCTAGATGTTACTTTGGCTACTTAATCGCACGAGCAAGTTTGTATGATATTTTAATAGTTGTGTGCATGTTTGATTTGGAGCCCCGAGGGCTCGGGTGAGTTTCGGATAGGCTACGGAGTGATTTGAAACTTAGAAAAATTGCTGGTGTTCTTCAGCTATGTTGCAGGCCTCATACCTCGCAAATGCGATGTCAAGCTTCGCATTTGCGACTACTGTTGAGGTCGCATTTGCGAGCTTCTCATCGCAAATGCGAAGAGAAGCTGGGCCAGCCTATGTTCGCAAATGCGAACAATCGTTTGCATTTGCGAAGTTGGTCTGGGAAGGGGTTCTTCGCATTTCCCAAGAAGGCGGTCGCAATTGCGATCCCAGCTTCGCATTTGCGAACAATATGTTCACATTTGCAACAGAAGCAGAAATGCGACAGGATCACATTTGCAATGCCTTTCTCGCATTTGCCAGCTTCGCAATTGCGAAGCTCATGTCGCAAATGCGACATCTGCAGCTGTGTAAAAGGGACTTAGACGGGATTTTTCAATCATTCTTCAATTTTTCAAAACAAAAAACCTTCTAGGCGATTTTCCAAAGACCATTTCTTCCCCAAATCATAGGTAAGTGATTCTTAACTCGTTTCTTTCAATCTTTCACTTTATTTTACAAGATTTCAACCTGGAATCTAAGATTTTCATGGTGGAATTGGGGATTTTTGGGTAGAAATTTGGGGATTTAGACCTCAAATTGAGGTCGGATTCCAAAACCAATTGTATATCCGGGCTCGGGGGTAAATGGGTAATCGGGTTTTGGCCGAATTTTGGGTTTGGACCAAGTGGGCCCGGGCGTTGACTTTTTCAAAAATTGCATTAGTTGAATTCCTTGCAATCGTGGGTAGTTCCTAAGGCTTAAATTGAATTGGTTGGTTGGTAATTTGCTAGATTCTATTGGTCCGGAGGCTTGTGTGAAGGGAAAAGCGGTGATTGAGCTTTGAGTTTGGCCGAGGGAGCGAGGTAAGTGTCGTGGCTGACCTTAGCTTGAGGGATTAGGTGTTATTTTCTTACTTGTTACGTGTTTGGATGCTGAGTACAATGTATAGGTGAGGTGACGAGTACATATACGTTGTTGTCGAGTCATAGCATGTGAGTGAGTCTAATTCTTATAAATGTTGTATTTCTGATCATATTGTTCATCTTTAGACTAGCTATTCGAGGTGTTGAGCAATCTCTTATCATGTTTTATTGAATTTGGTATTGATTGAGCATTTACTTAAAGTTGAGATTGGTATTGTGGAACTGAGTGTTGAAGTAAGACTTGTTGTTGTCATTTCCATCTCCCTGTTATTGTTGTCTCTTGTTTTGGTGAGGTAGAGTGATAAAGCACGAAGGGTGATGTCGTGCACGTTTCTATTATTTGTATGGTGAGGTTGAGTGATAAAGCACGAAGGGTGGTGAGGTTGAGTGATAAAGAACGAAGGGTGATGTCGTGCACGTTTCTATTATTTATATGGTGAGGTTGAGTGATAAAGCACGAAGGGTGATGCCGTGTACGTTTCTATTATTGATTATCTGGTGAGGTGAGAGTAAAAGCACGAAAGGTGATGCCGTGCATTTTTCGTTTGTTGAGTTTACTTGTTATTACTGGCTCAAGGTGTACTAGCTATTTAAATTCCTCTGTTGTTGTGATTCTTTATCTTGCAACCCCCTTAGCAAGCTTCCCCTCCCGTTAATTTCTGCTTAGCTTCTATTAGTTGTTATTTCTGTTAGAATATTGTTTAATTGCACAGGTGTATGTATGTGCCTTATCCTAGCCTCGTCACTACTTCGCCTGGGTTAGGCTCGGCACTTATCAGTACATGGGTCGGTTGTACTGATACTGCACTATGCACTTTCTGTGCAGATTTTGGTATTGGACCGTGTTGACCCGAGTTGAGCTGCTGCCTTCAATCCTACAGGAGAACCAAGGTAGATCTGCCGGCGTTCGCAGGACCTGGAGTCCCCTTCCAGTTATTCAAGTTTTCAGTTTCTTTTAGTTCGAAAACAATTGTACTTTCTTTCAGCCAGTATTTGTAGTAACTTTTAGAAGTTCGGGAATTGTGAAACCAGATTCTGGGTAGTTGTGTATAAGTACTTGGGTTATTATGAAATTCTGCACTCCTTTAATCTGTTTTGGTTTTAACTGTTGTTATTTACTGAATTGGTTAAGGGTTAACGTATTAAATCTTTAACTATTGGCTTGCCTAGCATCTGAAAAGTTAGGCGCCATCACAGTCCCGATGGTGAGGAATCCGGGTCGTGACAAGTTGGTATCAGAGCACTAGGTTGCCTAGGTCTCACAATTCACGAATAAGCTAGGTAAAGTCTGAGGGATCGGTACGGAGACGTCTGTGCTTATCCCCCAGAGGCTACAAAGTTTAGGAACAATTTCACTTCTATTCTTCTCTATCGTGCGATTTGATCTCTCAATGCTAATTGAACTCTCTACTCTTGTTCCTTCGCAGATGGCAAGAACACGTACCGCTTCTTCAACTGAGCAGCAGCCAGAGCCCCTAGTGGCAGCTCCTACGAGGAGCAGAGGACGAGGCCGAGGCCGTGCTAGAGGCCGAGATAGGGGCAGGGCTCATCCCAGAGCTCGAGCAGCAGCACCAGCGGTGGAGCCTCGGGTAGAGTTTTATGAGGAGGCCCATTCCAGCAGATTCAGCTCAGGTTCCAGAGGGGTTCATCGCTACCCCGGTACTTTAGGATGCTTTGGTCCGTCTAGTGGGCCTTATGGAGAGTGTTGCTCAGGCTGGCACATTTCCTGTAGCACCAGCCGTCTCTTAGGCTGGGGGAGGAGCCCAGACTCCCTCTACTCACACTCTGGAGCAGATGGCCCCCCAGTTTCAGACTCCAGCAACTCAGCCAGTCGGGGTGGTTTTGCCGGGTGTTGCAGCACAGACCGGCGATGGATTAGCTATGTCTTCTGAGGCTTTCTGGAGATTGGATAGGTTTACCAAGCTTTTCACCATTCACTATAGCGGTACATCTTTAGAGGATCCCCAGGACTATGTGGACAGTTGTTATAAGGTATTACAGAACATGGGGATAGTGGAGACCAATGGGGTCGAGTTTGCTGCCTTTTGTATGTCAGGTTCCGCCAAAAATGGTGGAGGGATTTTTGTTTGGCCAGACCTGCTGGGTCGCTTGCTTTGACTTGGGAACAGTTCTCTCAGCTATTTCTCGAGAAGTTCCTTCCTGTTACACTGAGAGAGGACTATCGTAGACAGTTCGAGCGTCTCCATCAGGGCAACATGTCCGTTACACAATACGAGACCTGCTTTATTGATTTGGCCCGTAATGCTCTTCTTATACTTCCTACCGAGAGAGAGAGAGAGGGTGAGAT